ATTTTTGGTTATTTGCATGGAATAATGGTACTTATAAATTAAATTGTATTTTGCAGCCAAAATAAGTCATTTTGAAGAATATGGACTAAAAGTGGAAAATGAAGAAACTTTGGAGGCTTGGAAGATTAAAGAAGATAAAACACACGAAAATAGTTGTATCCACGTTGTGGAGCTTACACCACGACGTGGAAAAGGAAAATTCTGGAAGATGAGTACGCGCAAAGTCGAAATCCTTGCCCGATAAGGATTCATCCACGACCACGACGTGGAATGTAATTTTATGACAACTATAAATAATCTTGATCTCTACGAATTTAAGAGGCTGGCTGGTGAAAAAAGGTTTCCAGAAGTCAATATTCAGAAGGTTAGAAGGCCAGGAAGTTGGTTTAAAAACCAAGGAAGAAGAAGAAGTTCATAATTACTTTCTAGTTGTGGTACTTTACAATGTTTTCAATTATGACTTGTTTGTGTTTACTTGTTAAAATGAGTAGCTAAATCTAGCTGCTTCATTTAGCTAGATGAAGCTGGAACTCATGGTTTGTTTATAAAAACATAGACTTTTCTTGTTGGTTAATATCTTGTGTTTGATTGATTATACCTAGCATGCTTAATTTGATACTAAGTTGTTTTAAACTCTTATTCTGTGTAGTTAGTGACCATTAATTTACATGAATTTGAATGAATTTGAATACCTAGTAATTTAGTGAACGTTCGATTATTAGAGCTAAGATTAAACCAATCTTAGATAAGTAATTAAAGTATTGAATTTGGTTGTGCTGGAGAACTCATATTATGAACATAATTGTGTTTGTTAACTCAATCTTACATAGCTCCAATTCTACTTAATGGTTAATTATGTGTGACTATGCATAGATCTACATGAATTAATTCAACATTAGTTAATTTGGAATTGAATTGCTAATAATATCTTAATTGGTAACCAACGAGAATTGTCACAATTAATAATTAAACCATTGAGGGAAAGTGGATTCGAACTAACAAAAGTGGTTTTATAATATTGAATAGTAGTTGATAAATTAAGTTTATCTAAACTTACAAAATTAGATAAATAACTTTTTAATTATTGTTTAATTTTAGATTAATTTAGAGTAATTATTTTAGCTAATTAAAACCGTTCCCTGTGTTCGACCCCGACTTACTTAAACTACATTACAATCCGACTAGGTACACTGCCTAGGTGCATATTGGTTAGTTAAGTTAGTTAAGAAATAAATTTAAAATTAGTTGGTACTTTTGTGCACATCAAGTTTTTGTGGAGCATTGTTACTCCCGATGTTTTTTGTGATCTTCCATATATTTGATTCGATTCCAATCAAGGCGGGCACTATATACATTTATGAAGACCATTTCTAGGCGATTCCAAGAAGTTTTTCCTGTATATTTAGGGGGTTGATTACATTAGTTAAGTTAGAATAGTTAAATTGAATCATATGTTTAATTTAAAAAAAAATGTTGCATAAAAATTGCTAGGATTAATTTAGAAAATTTTGGTAAAGAAATTAGGATTCATGCTAGTATTGTGTTTGATGATTATATGAGGACCCAAATGTTTAGTTGAGCCACGTTCTAGTGCATTTGTGGCCCCCTTTATGCTAGTGAAATCATGGGACAAAAACACAACCTCGTTTAGTTTGAGGGACGTAACATGTTTAGCATCGTGTAGTTGAAATGTATCCAGGAAAGCTTAAGTAGTCATTGCACATGAGACTAATGCCTTTAACCAATAAAGAATGAAGTTAAACCCCCTTGCGTAAGCATATGTTTTTCTATGATTTTTAGTTTGAGTGAAAAAAAGTGAGTGTGAAAAAAAAAGAAAAAAAAGAGTGATGAAATGTTCGAATAAAGAATCTACAAAGCTATGAAGACAAAGAAGAATATCATGAAGAAAAGCTACAAAGTATAAAAGATTCAATCAAAAGTTGTATTTTTCTTTTATTTGTAATTTTCTTTTCTAGGTTATTTTATCGTATGTGTGCTTGGGGATTTAACCAAAAAATAACTTGAGGTTAAGAAAGTTTTCTGGGGATGGATTCGGAGGGATGCATAAAATGAGCATTGTTCAAAAGAAGTGGGCGAGTGTTTATGAGGATTGTAAGTATTTAGAATTGAGGGGGGTCCTTAGGAAAAATTTTAGATACAAATGCATGCGTTGCGGTCTTGGCATAATGACTGGGTTCGATTGGGATTGTCTAATGTGGTATTAGTGTGTTAAAATTCAGTTTTGCTTGAGGGCAAGCAAAAGTCAAGTGTGGGGTATTTTGATATGGACATATTTAGTTATAAAATTCATGCATTATCTTAATACTTTATGTTGATTTTATTTCTTTTAATGAACAAAAGATGCTTAATTAGTTTTAAAATTTCATTTTCAGCAATAAAGACATGCTCCGAAGGAAAAGGAAGCGGAATTGGAGATTGGAAGCTTGGATTTTGGATTTTGAAGAAAGAAGGATGTTGCTGGACAGTTTGACCCCTTGTCAGTGTTTTAGCCATATCTCATGAACCGTAACTCCGATTGACAAGATTCAAAATGTTCTGAAAACTAGACACAATTTCGGACGACTTTCGTGTTTTGAGAAAATGCTGATTCCAAACGAACTTGACGAGTTGGCCATCAACTAGACGAGTTGATCAGAAAGTTTGCGATTCTTGACGTTGACTTACCGTACACGGGATTTTAATGACCAACTCGACGAGTTGGGTCAAAAAACTCGTCAATTTGGCCCTGTTTTCATAATCTATATATAGGATCACTTTCATTCGAAACCCTAACTAATTCTGGAAGCTTTGGACGATTTTTGGAAGCCAGAAGGGTTCTTAGAATTGTGGGTTTCGAGAATTCAACCTAGAAGTCAATTTTGAAGAGATCAAAGGCAAACAAACATTACTTTTATCTTAATCTTTTGTGTGAGCCATGTTTAAATCATTATATTTTGTTTTTATCTTGTTATTTGCTGTAGATATGAGCTAAAAACTCATTACTTCTGTTTAGACTAGATAAACTTATGAATATGGTTTGATTTTATGGCTTGGATTAATTTGATTTGGTGAATTGTCTTGTTAAGCTTGTTAAATACCCTTATGTGTTGACAATACTTATTTTCTACTAATAATCAAGTTTATTAAGATGCATGAACATCTCTTAATTGCTTGTATCATATGGTTTTTTGTGAAAACAATATTGTATGCATAATATTAGTGAATATGAACCTAGGATTAACTAGAAAATAAGTAAGTTAATGTGTAAGCTTGTGTAATGAACAACCACACAAGAGTTGATTGAATTGATAAATTTAGTTAACTAATATTACAAGTCTTACTTGACCCGAACTGAACACTAGGAAACCTGTTAGTTTAATCAACTGATCACTGTTTGAATTAACTTGTTTGCTAAAGGATTAGTAATAGTGAACATGAACCTAATCATATTAGAAATCGGTAACCATTGATATATTAATCCATTGCACTTGCCACGAAATCAACCATAGGAATAAGTGACTCGAATCTAAACGGAAGTCTCTTTAATTTGATTGAATCTAGTTGTCTTTTATTCCTCTTTTAGTTGTTAATTGTCCTTTTGTTTAAGTGTTTAGTATTTGCTTAAGTTTCTAGTCTTGTAAAACTAGAGAAAAACCCTTATTTTACTTGTTTTATTTAGATAATATTAGTAATAATCTTAATTGTTTACCGTTCCCTATGTTCGATACCCTACTTACATGAACTAAGCTGCTAATCGATAGGTACACTGCCTTTTGTGTGTTTGTCTTTGTGTTTAAATTAGTAGGATTAAAACTAGTACATTCCACATACATCATTAAGAAACAAAAGATAGAATATGAGCATATATAAAATTACTCCCATTCGTGTCTATAACTAGACATAAATGAGATCGTGAGTCGGTAGTCTCGTTAACATGAACCAGATGTATATATTGGACATAAAGTAGGGTCGCATAATAAAAGAACATCACAAACAACAGGCGACATAAATTTGCGTTGCTAGAGACCTTCAAAATTAAAGGATATTGAGAACAATAGACAAGATAAATCTTGGAACCAACAACCAACAATACACATATTATACAAGGCACTTCTAAGTTGTTTTAGTGCTGATCTTGATAGTTTCATCTACAACTAACGCATACTCTGCAACTAACACATACTCTCGTTCATGAGTTCATCATTATTGTCGTTACTTGAATTTGAAGATTGTAGAATGTTCCTAAAGTATGTAACATTGTGGGATGATAGAATTTTGATTTGAGTTCATTATAAGTTGTATGCATACATTCTCATATGTTAGTCTTCATATTAAAAATATCCACTGATTGTGATAAGTATTTTTCATATGAACAACATACTCGAAAATGTATTATTGTATACGCACGCAATCAAAGGACATAACTAATCACCAACAAATGAAAGGAGATCAATGTCACATTCAGATGTTCATAAAAGTGCTTAAAGATATAATCTATCTACCTCTTAAATAATTGAAAATATATGACTCCCGACTTGATCGTAATAAACATCTTTATGCCTGTATGGTTGAAAGAAACTTAAAAAATATGCAAAAAATAATACTCACTCATGTTTAACTATTAATATTGAAAGTTGATACTATCTTAATTTTAATATTGCAAAGAAAATAATGTATAGCCAAGATTCTACGTGGCAAAAGAAACATATATCTTTTATCATGAGTCCACCAATATAATTTAGCATTGCTTGTTATTTTGTTACAATACCAAAAAAATATGGTTAAATAAAGATATATGGTTATTTTAATAAACAAATATCAAATAAAAATATAAAATTTTAGTTAATTTCGAAAATAAAAATAAAAAATAAAAAAAAATATCAAAATAGAACAAACATCAAAAGGGCCGAAACGAGTTAGGGTTCCATTGAGCCAAGTATATATACGCAGATCTCCTAAATACTTCTAGGTGTCTCGTTAGGTTTTTGGGATCGGCAGCAATGGCGGAGACAACTGGTGTAGTTGTTCGTTTTCACGATAGCAAGGGCTACGGCTTCATCAAGCCCGATGATGGCGATGAAGATCTGTTCGTTCACCACTCCGAGATTCAATCGGATGGCTACCGGAGTCTTACCGAAGGTCAGAAGGTTAAGTTCTTAGTTGTTGAAAAAAATGATCGGAAACAAGCTGTTAGTGTAACTAGTGTCGACGGATCTAGTATCGAAAGAAACCGTAACCGTGATGGTTTTGGCGGTGGTCGTAGAGGCGGTGATGATGGCTACGGATTTAGCCGCGGCGGCGGCGGTGGTTTCAGGGGTGGTAATGGTAACGGCGGACGTGAGTGCTACAATTGCGGTGAATCTGGGCATTTCGCTAGGGATTGTAGAGTGAATAGCGGCGGAGGCGGTGGCGGTGGCGGTGGCGGCGGGGCTTGCTACAGTTGTGGTGGGTTTGGTCATTTAGCTAGGGATTGTAATAGTGGGCGCGGAGGTAGTGGCGGTGGCGGTGGCGGCGGCGGATGTTATAACTGTGGTGAGACAGGGCATTTGGCAAGGGATTGTAAATCAGGCGGTGGCGGTGGTGGCTACGCCAGGTCTGGCGGTGGTGGTGGAGGTGGCTATAAGTCCGGCGGCGGTGGTAGCTGTTACAATTGTGGAGAACCGGGGCACTTCGCTAGAGAATGTCCTACCGCTGCCAGTACTTGATACATCAACTAACCGGTGGATCTTTCTAAGTACATTTGGTATTACTTTTATTTAATATTTTAGGGTTTTATTTTTGAGCTTATACAGAGGAACAACCATTATAGTATTTTAGTTGTGTGGCAATCTTATGAATATATTATGGTGATGACCTAGTTATTTTAACTAGGTAAGGTTTTTTGGCTTCATTTTTGTTCGTCATGGTTTTAACATAAAATTATCTATTTTTATAATTTTTATTTTTAAATCTTGGTGGATATCTGAGTTATGATCTGATGAGTTTATATTAATAATGAATGATTTTGATTTATGAATAGAATGCAATGAATGATTGATCAACTCAATGTGTTTTGGCTTTTGATCTAGTGCCCTGGCTTATTCGATTAAGCAAAAAATTATAGGTTGGTTGAGATTTTTAATATGTTTAACCCGTTTAATTTTAATTAAGTAGATTGGGTTGTGGTGTGAAACATGAAAATATGGGATAAGATAGATTGATATCTACCCAATGAGTTTGTATTTATTATTTATTTTCATTCTATATTTAATTTAAAATAAATATTTGATCATCTTATTATTATTAAATGTTGATGACTTGACTTGAGATGTGCTTGTGATGTTTGCTTGTAATTTGTACACCTAAATGATTTATTTGATTTCTCTTCTTCTAAATGATTTATTTGATTTCTCTTCTTCTTCTAAGAACTCATCTCACGAGGAAGGTTATGTTCATAGGAATACTAAGCTGTTAGCTGAAAAATAACATTTGGTAAGAACATAGGAATACTAGCTGTTAGCTGAAAAATAACATTTGGTAAACATATGAATATGATAAGCCAGGAAATGTAAATTTGTATAAAAAAATACGTAGAAGAGTCATTTAATATTATAAATTTATTTTGTCTTTATTTATGTTCATGATGATCTTATTAATAAATTTCTAAATTTTATAAATTTCTTTCTATATGTTGTATATCTTGTTTATGATTTATGATCTAGTAAGTTTATGATACATGATTTTGATTTATCAATTGAATGCATGGAATGATTCGTTAAATTCAATGTATTTTGGGTTTTGCTATTTGGGAAACTAGTACTCGGTGGTCATTTTGATGTAAATTGTTTTTCAATTGTTAAAATGTGTTTGTTACATGAATGAAATCGTGTTGGATTATATTAAACTCGTGCTCATAAAGAACACTTTATCCCTTCTTGTTTCAACCATGTTCTGAACAAGATCACCAATCCGATTTAGATCAAAAAATCCGACAAACTTAGCATTTTAAGAATATAAGTTTCAAGTTGATCATCAAGTATCTCCAAGTCTATATCTGAAAAATCATTTGGATATAAATGAGCTAGTTGAATCAATCTTTTATTTATTTATTTTTTCTGCAAAAGAATTACTTGGATTGAGACACGCCATGAAAAGAAGCAATTTGGTGTCAGTCTCACTAAAACGACTCTTTATTATTGTGTGTTGCAAATCAACAATATCATAGAATAACTCAAAACGATAGTGGACTGAGTGAGCATAAAATCCCATCCGTTATCCCTCAAAATTTGCAATTGCAACTTGCAAAATCTAACCAAGTTCATTGCATTTACAATATGTTGATCTTTCCTTTGCAATGTTTAGGACAACTCATTAGTAATATGGTCAAGACGCTTGCAAGAACCTCCAACAAACACAACCATCAACCAACATGAATAAGTCAATAGTAAATATATACCCTAATTTTGTTGAGAATATAGAATATTAACATGTAGTAAGTCATTAACTTGTTGCTTTGCTTGCTCAATTGCCAACTTCGATTAAGTGGATTAGAAATTTAGAAGACGACGATGTTTGGTGCACACACTTTGCACACACTTCTGTCATCTGATTTGATGTTGATTTAAACGAAGGAGATTTGGGTTGCTGATTACTTCAATCAGTTTGAAGGTGGGCCTCGGCTAGTAGTTTTTTTTTTACAACGTTAAGGTGGGCCTGGGTTTATTTTGGCCCTCATGTGGCTGTGCTAGTTTAAGATTAGATGCAAGATGTAAGTTTTTATACATTAGATAATGAGGAGACGACAACATATCTGTATATGTCTCAAAATTTGATAGGTTGAGTTAATATAATCATTTTAAAAAAAAAATCTATTCAATTAATAGATTTATGATCTCTGACCCACTAATTTGTTATATATAATAATTATTTTTATTTAATTTAATAGCAATGTTTGATTATCTCATAATTATTAGATATTGATGTCTAAGGTAAACTTATAATGATCACTTGTTATTTGTATACATATATGAATTATTTGATTTCTCTTTCATTCTTTTGGAATTCATGAACTCTAATACTCATTAGTGTTGTAATAATTGGTCTAGGTGGTCGACAGACGAAGCTTAGGCATTATACTAGCTGTTACCAAGCAAGAGCTAGTTGGGCTAATAAATATGCTCGATCAAATCGATCAAATTAGGCTAAAACCCTCACTTTGGTGTTGTTTGTTTTTTAATAGGTAAAAACAAGGGTGTCAAGATCGGGATCCTACCTAGGATCGTTTTTGGGTTTGCAATATCGGGATCGTAATATCGGGATCGGGATCCTAAGATCCCACAAAATAAAATATAATTTTAATTTATAATTTTTAATCATGAAAAGTATTTCAAACATTCAGTTTTTCGTTCAAAAATTATAAAAACTTTAAAATATTAGTCATAAGCCACAATACAAAATGATGAATGGAAAATTGGTAAAGGGTAAAAGACATAAAATGGTAAAAAAATTCATTTGCAAAAAAATAAAAATAAATAAATAAATAAATAAATCAAGGGAAGGTAGGATCGGATCGGATCTCGATCCTACGATCCTACCTACGATCTTACGATCCTACCTGCGATCCTACCTCAAATACGATCTTTTTACGATCCGAATCGTTTTTCATATTTAGGATCACAGGATCGTACGATCCTACGATCAGGATCGCGATTTTGACAACCATGGGTAAAAAGTTTGCAGTTTGCAAACTACATCTGCAAACATCTATAAAAGAAAAGGTGGACCAAACATCTGCAGATCGTTAAATAAACTGAAATTTAAATAAACTTATTGTGTTATACTTAAAAGTATTAAAAATTATAATCCATTAGCTCTTATACACAATAAAAACACATACCAATAAAAACATTTCAAATTTATTTAAACATTAGGATACCTTTTTCAACTTTATGTGTTAAATCCATTGCTTCATCAAATGCACTCTAGATATTCTCTCATGTTGTCCTTTGCGTAGCACAAATGTAGTTAATTAGAAAATCATATCAGAAACTCGGAGCTACAAATGTCTTACTACAAAAAATATAGATCTACAAAGATTCAATTACAAAAATAAGTTTTGTTCATCTGATTATAAAAATAACTCAAGGAGCCCATGCATAAACACAAATGAACTATATGAAGCAAGAAACATAATCTTATCTGATCTGATTTCAAGCAAAAAACCATATAGCAACATTCAAATCTGATCTCAGCAAAATAATCATATAGCAAATCTGATTTCAAACCTAATCTGAATACCTATTCCAGAAAAACCATATAGCATAATTTGATTTCAAACAACAAGCATAATCTGATTTCTAAACAACAAGCATAATATGATTTCAAACAACAAGCATAATCTGATTTCTAACCTCAGATTTTGCATAACAAGAAACATATTATAATCAGATTTTATAACAGGAAGAAAACCACACACACACAAAAAAAAAAAAAAAAAAAAAAAAACTAGAAAAGAACAATGGTTGCTGGAAGATTTCAAATTATGTTTACTATAAGAAAAATACTAGAAGAGAAAGACTATATGAGAAGATATTCAAGCCCTCTCCTTGTAAGAGAGAATCACCCTTGATCTTCTTTCCACACTTGTAAATCTTCAATCATTTTCTCCAAGGGTTGATTCCACTATGTTTTTATTTTCACACGATGTTTGAAGAATATTTACCAATTAAAAATGAGATCGTTCATTTAAAAAAGGTTCAATGTATACTTATTTAACAATATTATATAAGTTTCTAATTCATGTAAGAAAATGGTTATAAGCAACCTCATTTCATTCTTGAATTCAAGACAATACATTGGTTAAATTCTTATTTATCTAACGATGACTTACTTTTTATTTTCTTTTATTAATTTATGTTAACATGTTTATATATATATATATATATATATATATATATATATATATATATATATATATATATATATATTATTAATTTATACAATTAAGACGAATTATTCATCAATGTTTCAAATAATTAAACAGAATAAAATATTGGATCTTTTGGCCTTTAAATGAAACGTGGTTGTGTATTTCATATAAAATATCATTGTATAAATGCATATTTAACTCTTTTAAAAAGAAAGATTTCTTTCTCCAAAAACTCAAACTCTTGTCTCCTACATTACTTGTAAAGTGAGACATACACCTTTGCATATCCAATATCTAGGAAGCCATTCATGTGCATTTCTATCCAATCTTTTTAATTCCCCACATGTCTTCTCAAAAGTACTCACTTTAAGGGATTTATTCTGAGATTGATTCATGTATGATTCAAATTGACAATAGTTGCGCAATTATGTATTTATTCAAGCATAATAAAAACCGTTTAAATAACTTATAACATATTTATCTAAGGGATAATGACTTGAAAGGGTAACGAACTTTCGACTTTGTTCACATTTAGTCACTAAACTTTTTTTCGTTATCTATTTGTCATTGAACTATTGAAACTGTTCACATTTTACCCTTATGAACGGCTGTTACCGGTCATAAGGGTAAAATGTGAACAATTTCAATAGTTTAGTGGCAAATAGAAAACGAAAAAAATTTTAGTGACTAAATGTGAACAAAATCGAAAGTTCGTTTCCCTCTAAAAAGTTCAATGACTAAATGTGAACAAACTTCCTCTTGTATTATGTTTTAGTAAATTATTTATTTTTGTTAAAT